TGATGTTCAATCACAGAACTACATTTCCTACTTTAGTTACCATAAACCAATAATAACTGTTGTACCGATAGAACTACAAGATGACAGAATGGAATATGGAAATACAAGAAATATCATTTTAAAATCTATTGCAAACGTACTTTCCTTTGTTTTTAGATTCTGAACGCAGTGATGAATGTAATTTTTAATTAATATTTTCAGTGTGTATTTTATGTGTTTTTTCCTACTGATTTTTTCACTCCTTCCCTATCTCACTTATGATTTAACGGACCCAATACTTATGAAAAAAGTTTTACTTATCCAGAGCGTAACTCCGACGAAAACAACAACTTATTGGTTATTAATAATAATAACTTATTATTATTATATTATTTTTTTTACGTTATCGGCGTGCGTCGAACGGTCGAACAACGATCCGGGTCGACCGCAACTACAAGTAGTGACAATGGATTTTATTATAATAATATAATCGTAGCTATTTATACATCATAATTCATAAAAAAACGATAGATAACAGTTATCCATTGTCACTACTAATAAACGACCAGGCCGTCGATATTTTTATAACACGCGCGCAATAATGATTGACTTCTAAATAAAAATTTGTTACCCGGTTTGTTATTGTTCATTTTATTATTATTATTATTAAAACTGAATACAAAATAATTTTTGTACTATAAATTAGTATTGATATTAAAAAAAAAAAAAAATTAAAAGAACWCAAAATTATTTTTATAATATAATATAATAAAATATTTCTATTTAAAATAAACTGATATTAATATAATAATGATCAAATAATTGGATAAAAAGGTACCAACCAATACAAATTATAAAATGAAAAATAAAACTCAATTTCTAGATATTATTAAATAAAATTACTTTTGTAAGTTTTTGTCTTAAAAAGGAACGGGTTTTTAAAACATTCTGGACATTAAACTGTTTTTCATAATGTCGCAATCTATATCAATACATTTTTTCACAAATTAAAGTGAACAATGAACACTCGTGAGTCATGACTATATAGTAAATTAATCGTGTAATATTGTATTACTATTAATACTATTATTACATCTCGTCAAAAATTCAAGTGTGATATTGGAATACCCGAGTATAGTCATATGTATATAATATATATTATATAGTTAGTTATAGTAGATGATCAATAATCAAGATAGATGAGTACACATGTACAATTATTATGACAATCGTCGTAGCTCCATCATGCACGCCTTTCCAAGGGCGTCCGCAAGAATTTGTCAAGGGGAGGGCAAGGTATTTACATTTTTAAATTTTTGTTTCATTATCTGATTGGTGATAAAGCACCTTATTGTTTTTGACGAGTTCTATCATATAGGTAGGGAATGTAAAAATTAAATTATGTGTATAGTCGGAAGTGTTGGAACTTAATCTTACAGTATTAATTTTAATCAAGTAACGTGCAACTTTATCTTAACAAATGCATTTTTTTAATATAAATAAAATGTAATCATTGACTWGATAAGTTTAGGTTATTTATAAAATTAAATGTTTGTAGCTTCTATTAAATAAATAAAAAACTACCAAACCATTTGGTAGGTCAACTATTTGTTGAAATCGGTTTTTTAAATATTATTAAAACAAATCAATATTATTTTTTTTTCGACAATTAGTAACAACACAAATAATATTATATTATTATATTATATATATATTTATTTTTCTTATTGATCCAATAAACTCGTCAACTATGGCCATTAGTTACAGACTTACAGTTATGGTAGGTAAGGTAGGTAGGTTATGAAAAATAAATTAAAATTAAAATAATTAAATAAAATTAAAGAGGCCTGTTGACTTTAAATTATTATATTATTATTATCGGAAATAGCACCGCTGCATTGTTCAGTATCGCCGTCGTCATTCGGGAAAACATAATTAATACCTRCCCACTAAAAATAGCTWCGCAAAATTCAAATATACCAATATTGATTAATGATTATAAATACTAGTATAGTATTTTAGTATTTAATATTTACAGTCAATGATACCAGTGAAATCACCAAATCACGAGATTCTACTAAATATTCATTATTCACATAATATATAACAGTGCATCGAAAACCGATGACAAAGATCCACATAACATTTGTCGACTAAAATAAATAATTGAATA